AAGCACTATATTTTTATACTTCATTATAATGGATTTTGGGCATATCTATATATTCACATGTTCATGAGCATAGGGAGGAGTCAGGCAACTATAGGCCAGTAAGCCTTACTTCAGTAGTGGGGAAAGTGATGGAAACCATGTTAAAGGATAGGATTGTTGAACATCTAAAAACACATGGATTTACTTCAAGGAGATCATGCCAAACTAATCTTATTTTTTTTTTTGATTGGATAACTAAAATTATAGATCAGGGTGGTGCAGTACACATTGCTTACCTAGATTTCAGTAAGGCTTTTGACACTGTTACACATAGAAGGCTTATCAATAAATTGCAATCTTTAAGTTTGGATTCCAATATTGTTGAATGGGTAAGGCAATGGCTGAGTGACAGGCAACAGAGGGTTGTGGTTAATGGAATGTATTCGAAGCTTGGACTTGTCACCAGTGGGGTACCTCAGGGATCTGTACTTGGACCCATTCTCTTTAATATTTTTATTAGTGATATTGCAGAAGGTCTTGATGGTAAGGTATGTCTTTTTGCTGATGATACTAAGATATGTAACAGGGTTGATGTTCCAGGAGGGATAAGCCAAATGGCAAATGATTTAGGTAAACTAGAAAAATGGTCAGAATTGTTACAACTGACATTTAATGTGGATAAGTGCAAGATAATGCATCTTGGACGTAAAAACCCAAGGGCAGAGTACAGAATATTTGATAGAGTCCTAACCTCAACAATTGAGGAAAGGGATTTAGGGGTGATTATTTCTAATGACTTAAAGGTAGGCAGACAATGTAATAGAGCAGCAGGAAATGCTAGCAGAATGTTTGGTTGTATAGGGAGAGGTATTAGCAGTAGAAAGAGGGAAGTGCTCATGCCATTGTACAGAACACTGGTGAGACCTCACTTTGAGTATTGTACACAGTACTGGAGACCGTATCTTCAGAAGGATATTGATACCTTAGAGAGGGTTCAGAGTAGGGCTACTAAACTGGTTCATGGATTGCGGGATAAAACTTACCAGGAAAGGTTAAAGGATCTTAACATGTATAGCTTGGAGGAAAGACTAGACAGGGGGGATATGATAGAAACATTTAAATACATAAAGGGAATCAACACAGTAAAGGAGGAGACTATATTTAAAAGAAGAAAACTACCACAACAAGAGGACATAGTCTTAAATTAGAGGGACAAAGGTTTAAAAATAATATCAGGAAGTATTACTTACTGAGAGGGTAGTGGATGCATGGAATAGCCTTCCAGCTGAAGTGGTAGAGGTTAACACAGTAAAGGAGTTTAAGCATGCGTGGGATAGGCATAAGGCTATCCTAACTATAAGATAAGGCAAGGGACTAATGAAAGTGTTTAGAAAATTGGGCAGACTAGATGGGCCGAATGGTTCTTATCTGCCGTCACATTCTATGTTTCTATGTTTCTATGTTTCTATTTCATAATTGACCAAACAGGGATTACAATTATTTTTTATTGTGAAAACTAGATAATCTGAAAACCCAGAGGGAGGAAAAGGAGCTAACCGACTTAACAATATGTATGATCATATTTATCAACATGTCTTTCTCTCTAGCCCATTGCTTTTCCTCTATCCCTTTACTCCACTACCTCCTATCTATTTAGCAAGGTTCTAATTACCTCCTGTAATTGCCAACATATTTTTCCAATTACTTACTGTTAAATATATCCCACTGCATAACTGATGCATAATGTGTTGGGGTTATAAAAGTAGCAGTAATAATAATAGTCTAACAGCACAATTAATAATGGGAAACAAATTATTCCTTCGAAAATGCATATGATTCCACTGAATCTTCTTTTGGAAATCAGAGACCAAAGAGTGAATCTAAGGTGAAGATATTGATTTTAGCCAACTTCAAGGATGGATAGCAAGCAAGAAACATTATTTACATGCCATATGTAACACAGTGCATGGGATGTTTCATCAACCAAAGAATAAATACCATTTTGTTTCAACTTTATATTTTTTTAAAACATTTTTTTAAAGTTTTGAGAGAACATTTCCATTTATAATTATGGCTCTCTATAATCCATGCTTTTAAATACTCCGAACTTTGAAGTTTGGAAATTATTACCAAGATCAGATGGGAAAAGAAAACTTAAACAGACCAAGTTAAAGAGGGAAACAGAACGTGCCTCCTATTATGTACATTAAATGAATGTCAGTTTAATCTGTAATGCACCATAGGATGAAAACATCATTGCGAGTTGCAAAACAAGTGCTACCTTGGGGTTTGTTTAGAAACAACTTTGAAATTACTGCTAGAGTGAGTATAATTGCAGTTCGCTTGCTATTGCAGATCAGATCATTAAACCTATCAGAAGTCAGATGGAAATGAGCCATTTAGAAGCAACTTTCATTATATAAATTTATATTGATTTTCACAAGATGTTACCATAGATCTTAGAAAAAATATATATTGAAATGAGATACTGTATATACTCGAGTATAAGCCGAGTTTTTCGGCACATTTTTTGTGCTGAAAAATCCCCCCTCGGCTTATACTCGAGTCTGTGTCTGTATTATGGCAACTTGCATTGCCATAATACAGACCAGGACTGCTGGGCTCATTACAAGTCCGGCGGTCCTGTTGGGGGCCAGAGCAAGCTGTTACTTACCTTTGTAGCAGCTCCGGTCAGCTCCCTGTCAGCTCCGTGCAGCTCCCCCAGTCAGCTCACAGTGTAAGTCTCACGGGACCCGCGGCGGTCAGAGCGTTGCCATGGGTTACTGTGGGTTACTGTGGAAATGCTCCGCGCGGCACGCAGACCGCAAGACTTACACTGTGAGCTGAACTGGGGAGCTGCACGAAGCTGACAGGGAGCTGACTGCAATGCTACAAACCTAAGTAACAGCTTGCTCCGGGCCCCCCTGCACAGCCCATCCACTGGACCACCAGGGAATGTTACAGCCCCCCTCCCTAGTCAGGTAACAAGCAGGGAGGGGGGACTAAAAAAAATATTAAATAATAAAAAAATTAAAATAATATTAAACTTATTTTTGAAAAATAACATTAAAATAAAAAATAAATTAAAAATTATAAAAATGCCCTCGCCCCACCCAGTTCACACACACTACACAAACACACACACACTCTGTATTCACACAAACATACACACTCTGCATTATATACTTTCAACTATATGTTCCATATTTATTCAGTGTGTGTGTATATAATGCAGAGTGTGTGTTTGTATGAGTGTGTGTGTATATAACGCGTTCATACAAACACACACTGCATTCATTATATACACACACACTGCATTTACACAAACACACACATTCTGCATTCATTATATACACACACTGCATTCACACAAACACACACACACTCTACATTCATTATATATACACACTGCATTCACACAAACACACACACTCTGCATTCATTATATACACACACTGCATTCACACTAACACACACACTCTGCATTCATTACATACACACACTACACAAACACACACACAACCACACACTGCATTCATTATATACACAAACTGTAAATAAATATTCAATTAATGTAATTTTATTGGGATCTAATTTTATTTAGAAATTTACCAGTAGCTGCTGCATTTTCCACCCTAGGCTTATACTCGAGTCAATATGTTTTCCCAGTTTTTTGTGGTAAAATTAGGGACCTCGGCTTATATTTGGGTCAACTTATACTCAAGTGTATATTGTACATATATCTAATCAAGCCCAACAGATGTCTCTATCAAAAGTGCTACAGTTGAACAGCAATACAGTAAGTGACCACATTGTTAGGTACAGCTTTCTGGTAATTATAATTCTTACTATACTATTAATTACTATAATTCTTAGAAATAGTAATGTTTTACAATGTTTGATAAAACTGACAGTATCCATGCACCAAAACCACTACATTGCAACGTAGTGATTTTGTCCCTTTAAAGTTGTTTGTATATTTTAGCTAAAACATAAATTAAAATTAATATAGTGAATTGTAATATATGTTTTTAGAAATGGCTACATTTCAATTGTATAAAATGTGAGTAGTTTATATGCTACAAGCATTTCATCTCCAGAACAAAACATGCTGAAAGATTGCATTATCAACAAAACATTGTAATTTTCAAGAGACAAAAAACTCACATTTGTTTCTTTACCGTAGAAAAATATTCAAAGGAAATGTATAAGGATCTTTAAAAATTCAACATAAATGCCATGAAAATTACTTATGATAGAAAAACCCATTAAGGTGTCTGGCTATTTCAACAATAAGTACAAGTCCCATAGAATTTTACCAAACAAAGAGAAGCTAAGCTGGAATGATTGAGAGCATACATTAACAAGAATCCATCAGATATACAGCAACAAACAGCACAATTAAAAAGAGAAGAAATTATTTCTGTTAAAGAGAATTGAATTGAC